CATGTATTACAGAAACGCATGCAGACACAAATAAATAAATAAACAATAAAAAAAACAAATAAATAAAAAACTAAATAAATAAATAAATAAATAAATAAAACGATTAATTAAATAAATAAACAAATAAATAAACAAATAGATAAATAAATAAATAAATAAATAAATAAATAAATAAATAAGAAATGAAGAAATAACAAGGACAAAAACAAACCAAAAAAAACAAAGACAAACAAAACAAATAAAAACAAAAAACAAAAAAACAAAAAAACAAAAAAATAAAAAAAAATAAAAAAACAAAGAAGGCGAATGTGTTTATTTTATTTACTGAGTTATGTTTTTTTGGTTGTTTTGTAGTGGAGGTGGTGGTGCTGCTGCTGCAGTTGCTGCTGCTGCTGCTGCTGCTGCTTCTGCTGCTGCTGTCCATACGCCGTAGCGCTCCCCCCCAGGCTCGTCCTTTAAGGCTGCTGACAGCAGCCGCAGCACACGAGCAGAGTCTGCTGCTGCTGCTGCTGCTGCTGCTGTTGCTGTTGTTGCTGTTGGTGCAGCAGCAGCAGGACGCAGCAAACGCCCCTGCTGCTGCTGCTCCTGCTGCTGCTGCTGCTGCTGCTCATCCTCTAGCCGCCCACCGCTTCTGGAGACAGGTCTTGACTTGCTGCTGCTGCTGCTGCTGCTGCTGCTGCTGCTGCTGCTGCTGCTGCTGCTGCTGTTGCTGCTGTACTGTCTGCCTGTAGCTGCTGCTTCATCAAGGCAAGAGAGCCGATGCCCTAGAGCAGCCAGCTGTCTCTCTGCTGCTGCTGCTGCTGCTGCTGCTGTTGTTGCTGCTGCAGCTGGGGGGTTGCTGTCAGCAGGCTCTCCTTGGGGTGTATAAGACAGATCCTTACTTTGCTGCGGTTGCTGCTGCTGTTGCTGCTGTTGCTGCTGCTGCTGCTGTTGCTGCTGCTGCTGTTGCTGCTGCTGCTCGCGCTCAAATGATGCTGCTGACGAGAGCAGCGTCTCGGTTGCTTCCTTTGCATCTGCTGCTGCTGCTGCTGCTGCTGCTGCTGCTGCTGCTGCTGCTGGCGCCGTTCTTGCTTCTGCTGCTGCAGTGTGCCGCACCGCAGCAGGCAGCTGCGACTCCAGTTGCAGGCGGCCCTGCACACATAAGCAGCAGCAGCAGCAGCAGCAGCAGCAGCAACAGCAGCAGCAGCAGCAGCAGCACAGGTGTATCACACTCCGAAGAAGCAAGAGCAGGGCCAGAAGCAGCAGTAGCAGCAGCAGCAGCGGCAGCAACATCAGCAGTCTTAGTCTAGCAGCAGGCGGAGGTTATCCATATAACTAGCTAGCTAGCTAGCTACCAGCTAGCTAGCTAGCTAGCTCGCTAGTTATATGAGCTGGGTGATTCACTGGCTAGCTAGCTATATGAGCTAGCTAACTAGCTAGCTAGCTAGATAGTTAGCTAGCTAGCTATACAATCAACAAACTAGCTAGCTAACTAGGTAGCTAGCTAGCTAGCTAGCTAGCTAGCTAGCTACCTATCTATCTAGCTAGGTAGCTAACTAGGTAGCTAGCTAGCTAGCTAGCTAGCTAGCTAGCTGGTTGAGTACAGCCTTACAGCTATGCGTATCAGTTCCTTCGCTTCTGCTGCTTCGAGCGGCAGCAGCACAGCAGCAGCAGGCCTCCCTAACAAATTCAAACCATCAGCAGCAGCAATGCTGCTGCTGCTGCTGCTGCTGCTGCTGCTACGACGGCTCTGCTGCTGCTGCCGCTGCTGCACCCGGCGAGCTGCTGCCTGAAGGGAGCGCATCAACAGACTGCCAAAGAAGAGGAGCAGCTGCGGCTGCAGCACGAGTTTGCTGCTGCTGCTGCTGCTGCTGCTGTTGCTGCTGCTGCTGCTGTTGTCTGTAGACATGCTGCTCGTATCCGCTGTCAAAGCATTCTGTCGCCGTTTCTGTTTCTGCCTCTGCTGCTGCTGCTGCTGCTGCTGTTGCTGCTGCTGCTGCTGTTGCTGCTGCTGCTGCTGCTGCTGCTGCTGCTGCTGCTGCTGCTGCTGCTTCGGCAGCAGCAGCAGCAGCAGCTCCACGCTGCGAAGCATCCGCAGCACATCCCGGGGGGAGCAGCGCCAGCACTCTGGCATTGCTGCAACAACTGCAGCAGCAGCAAACGCGCGGATATCCTCAGCGGCATCGTTCCTTCCTGCTGCTGCTGCTGTTGCTGCTGCTGCTGCTGCTGTTGCTGCTGCTGCTGCTGCTGCTGTTGCTGCAGGAGAAGAGAAAAATTCTGCTGCCTGCTGCAGTTCAGCTGCTGCCCACAGAAGCTGCGACAAGGATCGAGTAGACAGTTGCTGCAGCTGGCACTGCAGTTGCTGCTGCTGCTCCTGCTGCAGCAGCAGCAGCTGCTGCTGCTGCTGCTGCTGGGGTGTCAGTGCGGCCTGTGTTGCTGCTGGCTGGGTGAGTAGGGAGCGCAGCAGCAGCAGCTCTGAAGCAAACAAAGCAGCAGCAAATCCCCGAGATGCAGCAGCAGCAAACCGACTCGGCAACGCTGCTGCTGCTGCTGCTGCTGCTGCTGTTCCTGCTGCTGCTGCTGCTGCAGCAGCGGCAGCAACGGAGCGACGTCTGCGCCCTCTCGTACTGGGAGAGACGTCCACCGCCTCAACACTATCGCTGCTGCTGCTGCTGCTGCTGCTGTTGCTGCTGCTGCTCGTTGCAGCAATATCTGCTGCTGCTGCTGCTGCTGCTGCTGTTGTTGTTGCTGTTGTTGCTGCTGTTGTTGCTGCTGCTGCTGGCGTTGCAGCAGCAACGAGAGCGAGCCACAGACTGATGGTGTCGCTGCAGCAGGCAGCATCTCCAGCAGCAGCAGAAGCAGCAGCAGCAGCAGGTAGAGCAGCAAAGCTGCAGCAAACAGTCTTCAAGGGGCCCCACAAGTCAGCCTGATCGCAGCAGCAGCAGCAGCAACAGCAGCAGCAGCAGCAACAGTAACAGCAGCAGCAGCAACAGCAGCAAATGCTTCAACTGTATTCGCTTTCTGAGAGGCAGCAAACATCTGCTGCTACGGCAGCAGCAGATGCAGCAGCAACTAGCAGCAGCAGCAACAGCAACAACAGTAGCAGTAGCAGTAGAAGCAGCATCAACTGCAGCAGCAACAGCA